AACATCAAATGTTTAATATTTTATAAATAAAACTAATTAGAAGATATATTCAACACTGGTATTCTTTAGGGAAATCATGGTTTGTCATTTGCAAATATTCTTCAATGTGTGAAACAAAAAAAAAAAGAATTTGATATTCTTACATATAGAATACTTCTAAAATAGTTGAAGTGATTTATATAATTTTTTAAGTTTTCTTCAAAAAAAAAAAAAAAATTCGTCACAATTATCGAAATTAAGATTTACATATAGGAACATAGCTCAAGGCTTGATCTTTCATAAATGACATTTCCTTTTTTATGATGATTTTTGTTATCACCTGCATGAAAACTAAATTGTTGTTTTTTTTTAGAAAACTCAGGAAATTTTTCTCTGTTTATACTCTTTAGATCGCATATCCTAGAACTCTCGAAAGAGATTCATTAAGACTAATTGTTAATTTTGTTTGTTTTGAAAGAGCATATCAAGATTTAAAGCATGATAGAGACTATTTTTTTTTTATTAAGCTTAGTTATTATTATATACAAGAATAGTTTTCTAATTAGAACGAGAATTTTTCGATATATGAAGTTTTTCTTCTCGTACAAGATAAAAAGTTTGTTGAATATCTTCCGAAATAGAGTTGAAAATGTTACCATAGTCTCTCCATTACAGCTTCAACATGTTCTGAAAATTTCATGTAATTTTGAATGTGCTTGATGCAAGATCGATTTCAGAGCGATAAGAAAATCGTAATTAATAGCTGTCACATTTATAATAAACAACTTACGGATACCGCTTCGAACGATCTATAATCATTTTTTGTAATGGTGACATTGGAAAAAGAAATTATAGGAGAATTTCAGTCTTAAGATCATATTTTTAGACGAAGCGAACACTTCTCTAGTCCCATTCCTGGAGAGAGAGAGAGAGAGAATTTAAGGATACTCTTCCTTTTTCGTGACTTAACATTTTTATTTTATTTTATATGATTATTGTATAGTCTAAAGTAATATCTACCTAGTGAGTATTCAAAAATTGTCTTTAAACGCTAAAAGAAAACAAATTTTCTTAACACAGATAATTATCTCATGTTTTTCTCAAAACCAATTTTTCCATGAAAACAAAGTGTAAAAATGCCCCTATTTTTCTGAGTACATCCGATTGAGCTGAAACTTTTTTCACATATACTATCCATTATTTAAGATGACCTTTTTCTTGTTTCACGAAAAGAAGAAAAAAAAATATGCATTTTTTAAGATATTTTCAGGATTTTGGCTTTTTATTCGAAAAACAAAATAAAAAGATACTTATTTCAAATAGTATCTAATATCTGTAAGAAAATTTTCAGCTCGATTGAACAAAATATCTGGAGAATTTGAGTTTATGACAAGCGAACACTTCTCTACAAATTGTGATATTGAATTAAGCTGTAGCTTTTATTAAAGTATTTTTTCAAGAGCATTTTTCAATGCAAAACAGTTGTTCACTTTTCAAAAATGAGTATTTAGAATAAATAAAAATTGATATGCTGCGTAAAAAGATTCCACAAGGTTCTCGTTAGTTATAATCATCCGCTTTGCTATATGAAAAATAACGTTATTTTTCAGTATCCATTATAATGAAAATAATCTTTGATTATTTTCATTATAAAGGACTTGTTAATAAATGTAACTTCTTATATCTTACTTTTCATTTTCTCTATCTTCCCAAAGTGGTTTTCGATTTCGACGCATCAAATGATAACTAACTCGATTTGATAATCGACTTGGTGCTTAAAATTTCAAAAACAAAAAGAAAATATTTTTCTTTTTAATTTTTTTTGTTTTACCTGGTATATTATTATAAACGCTCCAAAATTCTTGAACAGTTTCAACCTAAATAAAATTAATAATTAAATTTATTTTGACTAAGAAAACATATATTAAATAAATCTAACAGCAAATATTATTTGAAGACCGGCTTCATAGTCCTCTTTTGATGTAAATTTTGGTTTTTGAGAATCGAGCCAAAACGTCCATCTTTTCAAAAAAAAAAAAAAAAAGAAAACTTTTTTCTGTTCGTTTTCTAATACATAAAATAAAATCATACTTAGTAGCAAGTGGTGCTACTTTTTCTTTATTAAGTGATAATGAATGTCGAATTTTTACTGTTGTTTCTGACACATAATTATCATCATTTAATGTTTCACTCGCTGATGAGTATTCGCTATCACCACTACCGTCGATCATCTATAAAACAAGAAAAAAAAAAGAAAGTTCTTTAAAATGAAAAAAGAAAAAGCAACGAAAGAATGAGCGATTCTGTTGTTTGCCAACATCATCGTTCTCTTTCATTCTTTTATATATATATATATATATATTTATTTATTCGCAAAATACGACACTGTATTTGTAAGTCTCATTGGTAACGACTGGCAACATGCCACGTGCAATGGACGATCATTTTGATTTAAAATTTTTAGCTATTGGTGATTCTGGTGTTGGTAAAGTAAGTAATTAAATATATATATATATATATTACTTATGCAATTAAATATTCTTTTCTTAATAGACTTGCTTATTGAATCAATATATTGATGGACAATATATTAAAACATTAGGAACAACTGTTGGTATTGATATTCGTGATAAAAATATTTTTTATAAATCAAATAAAACAAATAAATCATATACTATTAGTTTACAATTATGGTAAGAAAATTTCCTTATTGAAAATAATGTGTCTCGTGTAGAGGACAATGTTTTTTGATAAACCAATTATTGAAAAGTGCAAGCTTGTTGTTTCTTTTTTTCTCTTTCGTTCTTCGAGTTTCGATTAAGTATCACTATCAAATAGGCTTCTCTAACATTCTTTTGCCTATTCAAAAGAAAAAAGAATGTTACCTATATAAAGATTTGTTGTCTTACAATGAATAATACGGACTATCATGAAAATTCAATTTTTATAAATTTACAATCTATGAAATATATTGTAATCGATGAATCAAGAAATAGAAAAGTCATTGACTGTCAATCAAGAGCTTTAACAAGTTGTTGACTGTCTGATAAGATTTGACCTTTGAAATAGTTTTCAAGGAGCTGAGTCATTTCGTCATACATTATTTAAAGATAAAAACTAATAGAATTTATCGGATGATTGATTAATCGTTTTTCAATCGGGATTATATGCACTATGTAGACACAAATGAGTAATTTGAACCTTGAGCTATTGATTATCGAATTTCAATTTGAAACTTTACATAGAGATTCGAACCTACTGACATATATGAACGATATAAAAGACATGCCTATATGATAGTTGTATCTTAAACATTCACTAGCAACTATTCTCGCTTAACGACTGTATCTATGTAAAGTTCCAAGTCGAAACTCGAAACTTAGTTTTCCTTATATGTGTAAAGGACAGAGATCGGATCGATTTGGTTTAAATGTTGAAAAGTCTAAACCGATTCCATTGATGTTGAAGAGCATCATGGCATTCATTTAAAAACTACCGTAAGAATACAGTATCTTGGCAGCGAAAAGTTAATAGTTCGACCTTATTTCAGAATATTCATAACTTATTTGGACTTACGTAATGTACGCAATCTTTAGATAAAAGCGATTTGTCAGCTGGATGGCTTTCTTTATTACACCCATACAGAAGCCTACAAACTTTACTTTCTATCGAACACAACTATTTATCCAGTGATAAAAAATGTAATATTTTGTTTTCGCAAGTAAGATTCTATGAAGCGTAGTTTCACATAGACTCCTATTTTCGATTCGATTAGATACTAAATTGAATGTCACTATTTAATTTTCTTAAATAACATAGGGATACAGCTGGTCAAGAACGATATCGCAGTTTGACAACATCATTTTTTCGTGATGCTATGGGCTTTTTATTAGTGTTTGATCTAACAAATGAAGCATCATTTATTAATGTACGTAATTGGATAAGTGAAATTCAATCAAATGCTTATTCAGAAAATGTTGATATGATACTTATTGGTAATAAATGTGATTTAGAAAAAGAACGTATTATAACAAAAGATCGTGCATTTGAATTTGCTCAACAATATCAAGTTGATTATATTGAAACAAGTGCTTTACAAAATATAAATGTTGCTGAAGCAGTTGAATTATTATTAGATTCAGTTATGAATCGTTTAGAAGAAAATGATAATTTTCCAATGAAAAATATGCAGCTACCTAATAGAACATCGGGATATATTACTCCAGGATTGATAGACGGGAACCCAAGAAAACGGAAAGATTTATCTTTTTGTTGTAATTATTAAAATAAAAGATTGACGACGGATATTTGTTTCGCTTAATGAAAAAAAAAAAATCCTTTTTTTTTCTTATCTGAATTTTAATAAATATTAAATTTGATGGTTTAACTGACTTTATTAATTCATACCATTTAATAGAAATCTTGATAAATCTAAAAGAAAAGAAAAAATATTACATTTATTTAAAACAATGCAATAATTAGTAACAAATTTAATATAGTTCTGTACGAGGCTCACCTAGAAACTATTGAGATATCGATTATCTCTCTTAAACATCAATATATCTACACAGCTCGATGAATAGATATGTTTATCAAAATGAACAAGATGCTATTTCTTAAATAAAGGCGCAAGAAATTTTGCAACTGTTTATAAGTCTTAAACTTCTGTTTTGATTATAAAATTCATTCTTATAGAACATGAGAAATTCTTTAAGATATTATCACTCAAAATTCTGAAACTTATTTAATGGTAAAATCTAAGCTCAAAGATTAATATTTAATTTCATCTGAAGATTCTAAACAATTAACTTTAAAATCTTTCTTATATTAATATAATCCAGATTCAAAAATAAAACATAATGAAATTCATACAATATAATATATTAACTGAATTCGGCAGAAGAGTATACAAAATGTTGAGAATAAATACTCAGACTGTTCTAGAAAGTACAATTCTTACAAAAAATAGATATATTCTATTAACAGTAAGCAAGAAAAAAAAAAACATAAGTAAGGAATGTTCAATCAAGATGAACATGTTGTAAATGTGTTGGAATTCTTATATGTGATATTTGTCGACGTGTTGTTAATAAAATTCCACATGTAAATATTAAAAGTATGATCGTAATCAATAAAAGAACAATTGTTGATATAGGTGTGAATAAAAGACGATATTTAATACGTAAATACCAAATAGATCCAAGAATTAATGTTATAAAAAGAATAAAATATGGTGAAATATTAATTGGTGATGTATCAATAAATGATGATGTATCAAAACCATTAGAATTTAAATGTGTTGTTGATATATCATCATTAATTCGATTGGTTGTTGTAAGTCGTTGTGCACTTATTTGACAATGTATTGTAGTTTGATCATGTATATTACATGTACGAAGAGTTTCAGTATCTTGTAATTCACGACCTTGATAAATAAATCGAACGATTTTATTATTTGCTAATTCATCAGGGAAATATAATCTAAATAAAACAAAAAAAATAATATTTTTCAATATTTAGTATAAAACTTTTCATTGTTAATAATTATTTAAGACTTATATATAGAATGTGACATTTTTAAAATTTTGCTATGAATAATTCTTATATATTGACTTCTGAAATATGAAATTGTAATTGTCAGTAAGTTAAGAATCATTATTAGTTTTGATTTATGTTATATTGATGATTCCTTATAAATACTGATTGTTAAAATGAAAAAATTAAGAATACCGATAAGTGCTCACGGCATTTATTCATCTTTTCCTATAAATTCAGTAGTATGTAGTGTTGACTACGCAAATAAATTTATTCACCTTTTGATTTTCGAAATCGAATCATTTTGATTAGCTATTATTAATTTTTGAGTATCATTAAGAAATTTAATAGTGATTCTTAATGATTGATCTTCTTCTTCTTCTTCAATAGTTGTTGTTATTTGAGAAATTGATTCATTCGAATTTATTATATTTTCTGATTGTAATTGTTGTATTTGATTAGTATTTGATTCTGTTGATAATGATGTTTGTTCATAAATGAATTGATCATTTTCATTTGATCTAAAAATAAGAAATATGAAAAAAGAAAAACATTTATAATTATTAATCATACTCAATATATGATTCATGTTCTGTTATTGTTTCATTAACAGATGATGATGATGATGGAATTGAATTAATTATTTCTGATTGTTCTTCTATAATTTCTTTTTAAGAGAAAAAAGAAACAAATAAGTATTTTATTCAAATTTTTACTACCATTTCTACGATGTGTTCGTCGTTCTATAATAAATAATGTAGTAGGTAAATGAATATTATTCACATGTGATGAAAGCCACGCAAATGATACAGTACCGATAAATAGTATGAAGCAAAATGCATACAAAACATCATCGCCAATACCTTCAATAAATGACATTTTTCTAAAAAAGATTTTATTTAACAAAAAAATAAATATGCAAAAAACAGTGACTGGAAATTTTTGCTTAACTAAATCATATTAGAAAAATATATTAAATAAAAAACAAAAAACAAATTTAGAAATATTCATGTTTTGATTTATGTAGTTGATATCCGTAAAAAAAATGAATACAGTAAGAAATATATCGACGTGTTTTTGATAAAACATGGCAACCACTTAAAATTCTTTTGTTTATCATTCTCCATCTATCGTATATTAATACAGATGGCGTACATTGAACGTTGAACATATTTATCTGTAGTGGCAGAGACAAACATTTTGATTAGGATCTCGATAAAAGTCAGTGTTACAGATGAAGAATGGATATATCTATAAATGTTTTCATGTAACAGTTAATTGTTGACTTTTAATTTTCGGCATCTAGATTTTTTTTTTATAGAAAAGATTCAAAATTTATCATCACTTCTTATTTCATCATGAAGGATAATAATAAATGGTAAATAAAGATGCAAAAGTCAAAGTTCTATTTCCGATAAATACGGTTTTCTGCATCAGTGATATAAAATCGATTAGGAAAAGAAGTCATTTCTGACTAATCAAGTTGATACTTATTAAAAGTCCTTGGGTTTGAAATTCAGGTTGTAATTTTAATTTTTTTTTTCCGTTATGATGTCTTTTGAACTTTTTTGTATACAATAAAATATATATTTATTACATAATAAGGCTATGACCATATGAAAATCGCGACCTGTTACAATAAACATTAGTTTAAAAGGCAAAAGGTATTAAGTGTAAAAATCATTTTATGCATTTGTGACACTTGTTTTATCGTCATTTTTTCACAGCTCTATTATTNAAAAGCAAATCTTACTGGAGCGGTGGACATTCTTATAATAGAAGAAAGTTCTCTCGATCAAGAAATTACAGTATGGAAACAGAAAACAGGTAAAGAATAATAAAAATTAATAATTTATCTAATTTTGCATTTTTATTTTCAGAAGATGTTGAAAATAAATTAAACACCATGAAAGAAAATATTCCATAACAGCAGTGTCACATATCCAAGATTTTGGCGAAGTGCTCACTTCTCCCACAGGAGATGCGGTGATTTGCTGTTGAAGATGTATCATCTCATTGAGAGATGTGCATCCCCCACATTGCATGCAGCATCTCCCGGCAGAGATGTGAGCAAGGGGGAAACAACTGATTTATGATTTTGTGATTTAAGATGAGTTAAGTTGATTTAAGGTGATTTAAAGATGATTTAAGATCATCTAAAATCATTTTTTCAAGTGATTTAACATGATTTACAAATGATTTAATCTTGATTTTCAGGTGATTTAAATCAGTTGTTTCCCCCTTGGATGTGAGCACTTCTCCAAATTGCAGGATATGTGACACTGCTGTTATGGAATATTTTCTTTCATGGTGTTTAATTTATTTTCAACATCTTCTGAAAATAAAAATGCAAAATTAGATAAATTATTAATTTTTATTATTCTTTACCTGTTTTCTGTTTCCATACTGTAATTTCTTGATCGAGAGAACTTTCTTCTATTATAAGAATGTCCACCGCTCCAGTAAGATTTGCTTTTTTATCAAGATAAAGAGGATCGTTCTTCTTTAAATTTTTGATCTTTTTTTTCTATTTTATTTATTCGTGTCCATTTCTTCATTTTGAGCCGTTTGAGACGTTCGATCTTGAAACAAAAACATTTTTCATTATAAAATATAATATATATGTTAATTTACTTTTGCATAGAGTTTGCGCTTGGTGGCCAGCATCTATTAATTGAAATATACAATTTTATTTAAAAAAATACTTTCATTTTTCGTACTTGGTCAATAATAATATTAACTTCACCAATATGACTAACATGACCAATATTATTAACTTGAGCAACATCACTAACTTGACCAATATCATTAACATCAACGTCAGCATCATCGGATTCCTAGAAAGTATAAAATCCGCATCATAATAATTTTTAACAAATCTTCTACCTCTGACGTATCAGAATCACGGAACATATGAAGACCTGCTCGTGCGCCAATTAATTTTACAGAATGGCTACATCAACAACCACCACAAAAGAAAAGGAAATATTTAACAGGTGATTTATATGCGAAGTTTGTTACCGAAAAAGCCGCACCACCAATCAAACGAGTGTTCAGAAGTACTGGTGTTATACCAATCTTCCAGGACGATCAGGACAGCAAGCATAGAACGACGATTGTGATGGATACTATTGATTCTTTATTTGGCGAACATATTGATCCCGAAATAGGTGATGCAAAATTAGCTGATGTTCGGGTGATAGAAAATGTATGGGATGCGATTAAAGAAAGATTGAGAGGGCAACAATTTAATGACGCATCAGAATTGGAAAATCAATTAGCCCAACAGTGGAGAACATTTACTGTCGAAAAATGTAGGCAAATGATAGAAGAAATACCTGATCGACTGAAGCGAGTGATAGATCAAGATGGGGAACAAATACACAATCATTCATAAATGTTTTTTATTGATTATTTAAAAGAGTTTTCGATTTGTAGATCTATTTTCGAGTACTATTTTCATGTAATTTTGTAATCCAGTATTAAAAGCATCTCCAGTTATTCTCGAAAATACTCCAATTTTTTTCTCTTATTTTACCATGCTCGTATCACGATAATAATAAGTGATAGAGAGTTGAAATTTTCGCATATAATAGACCTAGACAACTAATAACTATACTTTAAATATCAGCCTCTTCGGTATAGAAAACATGTAAAAAAATACATTACATAAGGGAATCAGAACTTACGCCACACCCTTTATGCAAAAAGATTTTCTGTATATTTCATTTCCATCTATAGTGTCGTACCTTTTTGTGAGCTACTTGGTGAAAAATTAGATTCTCACAGAAAAGGTTTCTTCTCTATTTATTTATCTTTGCTTTATATAAAGGTAAATAAGAAAAAATCTATATTTTAATTTTGTAAATATGAAGATTTCATTTATCTTCATTTTTTAAATAATAGTTTTTTTTTTATTTATTTTTATTTTTGAAAAATAAAAAATTTTCTAATCTCTATTTAAAAAAATTTAAAGAATTTACTGATGTTTATTTTATTAATATAAAGATTGTACTTATATTTATTTCATAAAGTAAAGAAAACGTAACCCTAGTAAAAAAAAAAAAGCATTTTTTGCAACTAAAATTACTTTTTTCCTAATAAAAGTTTCTTTTTTCTAGTGAAAAACCTGGTATTCCACGAGATTTAGTAACTAAAAGCACCTGAGAATATCATTGTTTTATCGAAGCTTAAAATCTTGCAATAGACATACTCAGTTTAGAAGTATTATTTTAACCTGTATATGCCCTGTGACGGTCTCTGGTTGTTATTCAACCAGCGTAACATTTTGTTCATGTCTTACAAATTAACTGAATGAGATCAGTCTTCTATTGTTTTCTAATACATTTAACAGTATCATTTGACACAGACAACCGTAACACTCAATCTTAAATCAAATATAATCAACAATCAAGACGATGAATATCTAATCTAACTATTACATAGTAATATGATGAGACAAAGTTCTCTACTTCTCTTTCATATATTCTCTATAATGACTTTACGCAGATATTCATGACATAAGACCTTGATGATAAGCATATCATTGATTAAGGCAAACAACATTTGGCAAAAGTGTTAACTACTGACATAATAAAACAAGTTCCATATTCATATGTGACCTATCCACTTCTATCAATTAGTACATGTATTCAACGTACTAAATCTTCAATGGAACTTAATTGACATGAAGAACATACAATATATGACTGAAATATTACATAATAATAAAGTAAGACAAATTCTTGATATATCTATCCTTATCAGTCAACACATCTACTTATGACGGTAGATTTTATTTACATTAAGTCGATGATGAAGACATTAAACAATCTACTGAATACAAAACAATAGAGAGAGACTTAGAATGTTAAACAACATTAGTCGTAAGATAACAAATTTAAATCATTGAAAAATAATCGCGATACGGCCTATTCTATATTTAACTATCAAATATTTGCTACTATCATTTAACATATATTAACACAATAGACCTTCGAATGGAAGGAGATGAAACGGAAAAAAAAATCGTCCCATCGTATAAGCTATCGCAAATTATCTTATGTGGGATGGGATTGTTCCATCCCACGCGGAGTTCTACAACACACTCTCTAATCTTGAATGGAACAGAAATCAAACAATGAAAGTATCAAAACGGAGCCGACTAACCATTCTAATCTTATTTGTAACTTATTACAAAGTTTTCAAACAATATTGTTTGTATATTTTTACGTTCTATTTTTTTTTTTTTGATATCGTTGTATATTTTATTTTACACATTCTTCAAACCTTTTTAATTTGTATTCTTCATCTAACAATGGATCCTCTAAAGACGTCAAATCACTTTTCGATTAAAACAAAGTTCATTTGATATGTCACGTAAAAAGTTGAGTTTCGAATTCAAATTTCGCATGAAGAAAATTCTTAATAAGATTGAGTGATTGTGCAACTAGTATTTCCTATCTAGAGATGTAAATATATGAACAATAATTTGTTTTTACATATGAAAAAATTTCGAATATTCAATATCTCAGAATAGGAAATGCTGCAAAAGTAATCACTTGTTCAATGATCTAATTTCATTGAGAACTTGGTTCATACAATGTTTGAAGTCAAAAACAAGCATTTTTTCTGCGAAAAAAAAATATTGAAAAACTCATAACTGAGTTCAAAATCATTCGGGCTAATCGTATTGATGTATTATATGCGCAAGAAGATTTCTATGAATTTTCATGCAATTTGAAGATGTGAAAAAACGCGGAAACTCACTATACTGAGCAACTCTTTTCGAAAGACAATTTAGCGTAGAAAAAAAAAGTTTTGTTTTTGTATGAAATGATACAGAGAAACGTCTAGTTTCAGGATATATACGCAGTTTTAGATTGTATTTGTCAACAGGTTCAAGTTTTCACAATAGATTATTTGAATTATGCAAAAGTGCACTTTCAATGTTTCACCAAATATCGACCTGAATGAACACTATGGACAAGGACTATAGCTTTTTTTTTGTCAAAAAACCAAACCATTCTAGACTTTTGTATCACTCATCAAATGAACATCATCTCAATAGAAATGTTATTTGATACTTGAGACTGAGATTCCCTTGTAAGTATCATTAATAAAAAGTAGCATTATATCTCATTTCAAGGTTTCTATAGTCAGTAATAAATAGGAACCCGAAGGATGCGCACAGTGATTCTCAGAATATTGAATGATGGTAAGACGTGAGAATGGAGGTTTTGGTGAGATTGATAGTGTTTGATTTGTTTCTTAACGCCCTTATCTATTGTATACCCAAAGTGAATAATCTGTTACAAGTTAATTTCTACATCAATAAATTTATCCTTCATGTCTAAGCATATATCCATTTGGCAATGAAATCGAATTATATTAGATTAAATAGATTTTTGTTCTATAAAGATGTTTAAATAATTTACAAGAAATTTTGAATTATTTGCTACTACAGAAACTAAATGATATGTAAATTTTACTTGACAATTTATGAGATTGTTTAATCTTAAATTTTTCTCATCGTTTGAAAAAACAAAATATTCATTATTCACTACAAAGAATCATTTGAGTCATATAAATAAAAGAAGATAAAATCGTATTGCAATCTACACAAAACAGAAAATCTTGTTTCAACACTTCAAGAGTGCTTTTATAAACAACAAATAGATAAATGACTTAGACGACGACAAAACCAAACTGTACAAAAAGACAGAAAAAGAAATCATTTCGAATGACGATGATGATGCTGTTGCTGTTGTTGTTGTTGTTGTTGTTGTTGTTGTTGTTTAGCTGCTTGTGGTATCATATCAAGTAAATATTGAGCAGGATTTCCTTGACGCATTAATGAAGCAGCCATAGCTGGTAATGATGCTGCTAACGCTTGTTGTTGTTGTTGAGTTGTTTTAGTTGCAAGTGCAGCTGCTTGATTAGCAACAGCAAATGGAAACATATTTGATAAAAAATGTTTTTGAAATAATTCTATTTGTTCATTAGTTGGTAAAGCAGCTAAAGCTGATGCAAATGTATCAGGTGGAGTCGTCAGATGTTTTGATGAACTAGTCTTTCCACTATGATGATGATGGTTATTATTATTATTATTATTTGTATGTTTATTAGATTGATGATTTGAATTTATTTTTGTTGTTAAAGATTTATTCGAAGGTTTATGATGTGATGATGATGATGATGATGATGTTGATTGTTTAACTGTTGTTGATGATTGTTGTTGAAATTTAGCATCAAGTTCTTTTTCTTGTTGTAATGCTTTCATAAATGCTTGTCGTAAACGATTTGAATGATCTTGTTTAAGAATTTTTTTCTGTGATGTTTTTCTACAACGATCACAAAGAATTTTTTCATCTTTTTCATTATCATTTGTTGATAATATATCATGCCATGTTACAGACCAATCAGTACCACATTGAGCACATACATAAGGTGACATCATTGAAAATTCCGATGTAAAACGACGATTAATAATATCTGTATATGTATTATAGGCTTGTTCAAGACCAATCATTGTTAAAAATTCTGCCCAACCATTTATACCAGGAATATAAGTTAGATCACATGTAGTTGGTTTTGGTGTTGGAATTTGTAAAAGAGTTTGTTCAAGTTGTTTACGTAAAGCTAATTTTGCATTAAATAAATGCTGATCTGTACTAATTCCATTATCTAAGAAAGACAATATAGAATTTATTAAGACATATTAACAAATAGATTTTCTTAAATAACAATTAATAATAATTCTTTTAATCTTCTTTTGATTCTGTTTTATTCGATAACATATATATGTATATGAAGTTAGTCGAATAACATTATTGGATCAATTTAAAGTAAATGCTTTTAATCAAATTTTTCATCCAAATATTCGGATTTACGTGTGTAGAATGATTAGAAAAACAAATTTTTCTTTATTACAAAATAAAGCAATTGAAACAGAACTTTACTCATTATGTGTTATTTTGTTAAAATAACGGAAGTATAAGAAATGGTTTGTTGACTCATCAAAACATAAAATTTTTTTTACATAGAATGAAAGAATATATCGCATTGAATAATCAAGTGATAAAATTTATGATTTTATACACGATTGAATTTACAAGAAGATTTATATAATATAATTCTTTACGTTTTTCTTTTTATGATCTAATAGTTAAAATCTAATATTTCGAAAATATAATTCAGTGTTTTAACAAATAAAAAAAAAACCTAATCATCTCTTTTCAAATTTAATTTATCTATCATTATTTATATATGAAAAATTTTCTATAACAAATTTGTTTCTATGATAAAAAAAAAAATATGACGTCATTTTTAATCTAAATTGATATTAAATTTAGAAGTTAACTGAAATAGAATACTTTATAATTGCATTTCAAAGATCAAATTTCTCTATGTTAAATACTTAACTCAACTAAGTCTAAGATAATATATTGATTTTATTCAAATAAACAAAATCAATCTATACTTTCGATATATTTTTCAATAGAGAAAAGCAAAAAAAAAAATTCATCATAAAAACTATACTTTTTAAAGAATTATTTGTTGTTGATGTTAGAGAAGAATTTTTTGTAG